CGGGCTGCCTCGACAGAGCCGTCCGCCCGAGCCCAGCCCCAGGCCGGCACGAACTGCTCCGTGCCCACGCCCGTCGCGCCCCGGGCCTGCAGCCAGCGGGCGAGCCAGTCCCTGACGCCGTCGTGGCGGTGGCTCGTGCCGCCGCCGACGTGGCAGCCCAGGCAGTGCCCCGGCGTCGCGGCCAGGTCGGCCCCGCAGAGCGCGTCGCTCTCCTCCTCCTCCTCCTCCTCCTCCTCCTCCTCCTCCTCCTCCTCCTCCTCCCCCTCCTCCTCCTCCTCCTCCTCCTCCTCCTCCTCCTCCTCCTCCTCCTCCTCCTCCTCCTCCTCCTTCCTCCTCCTCCTCCTCCTCCTCCTCCTCCTCCTCCTCCTCCTCCTCTTCCTCTTCATCCTCCTACTCCTCCTACTCCTCCTGCTCCTCCTTATTTGCCCCCCTCCCTCCCGCGTCATCGCTCGTCACCTGCGGTCCTGGAGCACAGCGCTCTTGTTGACAGCCGCCACGATCTGTGCCAAAGAGATTACGCTCATGTCGCCGAGCTTCTGCCTGCTGTGCACCCGGGCCAGCGGAGGATGGTCAAAGACCCCTCGCGACATGACAAACATCACACCGTGTCGACACGTTTCAACGGGTTGGACTCCATTTGCACGTCTGGGCGCCGTCACGAAACGACTCGGGATGAAGCACCAGCCCCGGGGGGATGGAGTCGAGAGCTCGACGGGCCAGCGGCTCGGAAAAGTTGAGCCCTCAGAGGTCTGGGTTCTGTGTGCTCGGGAAGACAAAAATGGGCCGTCGGGCGGAGGAAGCACTCATCAACACTGTGTGTTCCGAAATGAAAATCCGGCTTTTGAGGAGGAAGTGGTAGTTTACATTGGTGGTTGCTTGCCAGAGTGGCGGAGAGCACTGGCTGCCGCATCTCCTTCCCAATGGCCCGCTCATCCTCATCCTGCTCCTCGTCCTCACTGTTGATTACCCTGTTCCTGTTGCTCCTCCTCCTCCTTCCCATATCCTCCTCCTCCTCCTCTTCTTCGTCTCCTTCCTCTTCATCACGATCATCATCAGCATCATCATAAGCAGCAGAATGATCACCATCAGCGTCATCAGCATCATCCTCAGAATCATGATCAGCATCAGCATCGCCGCCATCCTCATCGAAATCACCTTCATCATCATACTCATGATCAACATCAACATAATCCTCATCACCACCATCATCATCAGCAGCAGCGCCAGCATCATCAGCATCGTCAGCATCAGCATCAGCATCATCATCATATTACTCACAACAACAACGACGACGACGACGACAACAACAACAACATCAACATCAGCATCACCAAAAACACCATCGTTGTAGTCGTCGTCAGCAGCACCGCCACGATCACCACCATCACCGTCAGCATCCGCATAATCATCAGCAACAATAGCATTGTCATCATCATCATCAGCATCATCATCGTGGTCATAATAAGCAGCATCATCATCGTCACCATCATCATCACCATCGGCGCCATCATCATTATAAGAATCAGAATGGTACTTACCATCAGCATCAGCATCAGCATCATCAGCATCATCAGCAGCATCGTCATCGTGAATAGTATCAGCATCAACATCAGCATCAGCATCACCCCCATCATCATCGTCGTCAACAGCATCAGCATCATCAGTATCATCATCATCAGCAGCATCATCAGCATCAGCATCATCATCAACATCCACATCATCACCCTCATCTTCATCCTCATACGCATCCTCGTCCTCACCCTCCTCGTCGTCGTCGCCGCCGTCGTCGGCGGCGCCACCACCATCATCAGCATCAGCATCAGCGTCACCACCAGTATCCCCATTACAATCAACGGCATACGCATAAACGTTGTCACCAGCATCATCGCCATCAGAAAAACAGCCATCACCATCGTCTGCATCGTCATAAGTCGCGTAGTCTTCACCACCGTCGTCCTCGTCATCAGCAGCAGTGGCATCGCCACCATCACCATCGTCATCATCATCGTCCTAATCGTCATCATCATCATCATCATCATCATCATCATCAGCAGCAGCAGCAGCAGCAGCAGCATCGTCGCCACCATCACCATCGTCATCTACGGAATAACCATACGCATCGCCAACATCGGTAGCACAATTGTCATGTCAAGTCAATCGCTATCGTCATGCACACGTCCATCATCACCATCGTCGCCTGCAGAATCCCCAACATCATGACCATTAATCATCATCATCACCATCATCATCATCATCAGCATCATCATCAGCATCATCATCATCATCATCATCATCATCATCATCATCAGTACCAGCAGCAACATCACCAGCATCATCAACACCAAAATCAACGTCATCGTCATCGCCCATCCTCCCCGATGTTCCGTCTCATCCGCATCCCGACTGCATTTTCCCCCTTCTCCAATGGCTCTTCTTCCTGATCCTCATCGTCCTCCTCCGTCCACTCTGTTCCATCCTCCCTCACTTATCCCTCGAGGCTCCTCCTCCATCTCTCCTCCCTCTACTCCCTCGCGCCCCCTATCGCCCCATATCCCCCTTATCCGTTCTCGATCCTCGGTCCGTCACGTTTCCCCGTCCCCGCCTTCTTCCCTCCCGCCCCCCCCCCCCCCCCCCTTAAGCACATGCGGCCCATGGAGCGTAAGTACCCTTTGAGCTCAAACTCGCATTGGCGTCACGTCCGTCACCGCCCAGGGGTGCTTGGGGGGCACCGCGTCTCCAGCGCAAGTTCACAGGCGACCGCGGTGGCGAAGGCGGGCAAATTTGTTGGTGGAGGAACAGGTATGCATTTGGTTTGCTCCGCATGCTCCCACGCTTTATGGTTGCTACTGCTGTCACGTTCAGCATGTGCGAGGGGGGTGGGAAATGACAGCGGTTGGTGCGGCCGCTGTGCATTCTGTGGGAGGCGATGCTAGCATCGACCGTCGTCATCATCCCTGTCTGGAACAGTGCCTGCCAAACGGACGAGCAGTGGCAGCAGGCAGACTGTTTCTGGGCTCCGAACCTTAACCCCATCTCCTACAGTGCTGGTACCGGCGCGTGCGAGAAGGGCGAGCAGCTTTGGAGTGTTCAGTCAATGCTGAGCGTAGTGCGGGGGCCCAAGCTTGAGCCGACTGTCATCAGCTACAACGCTCGGATCAGCAAGTGCGAAAAGGGCAGGCACAAGCAATGGAACGCCGCTGCTCGGCAAGATGGTAATGCGTTGTGCGAACCGACCATCATCCGCTACAAAGATTGGACCAATATACCAGCTTGCGAGAGGGGCGAGAGGTGGCAGCGGGCAGGATTTGAATTGAGCAACGCGCAGTTCAATCAGCATGGTTTCGCACATCATGCTGGAATGGGCTAGCGTGGGAGTCGTTTTATTGTATTCAAACAAATAGCCTCTCAGCGTCTACTGTCAGCGGCCCGTCGGAGCGTTCTCTGCTGCAGTGTCACAGTGGTCAAGCTGAGAGGCGTGTTTGGGCCAAGGCTGGCCAAATCCGTGCACAGATGTTCACCAAGTTCGGGCATCGCTTCCCCCATTCGCGTGGTAACACATAGGTGTTGTCGCTTCTCTTCGCAATGTGTTTACGCAGTTGGTCTACGCCGCCGTTAGTTCATTCACGACTCTTGGGTGTATTGGTTGGTGGCGACAATGATCTGGTGGGCAGCGCGTGTCGGTTGTGGCACCACCTTGTCTGTAACAGCGAAAATGTTCCCCATAATGTTACTACCTGTGTGTGCGTTTTGCGTGGATGATGGGAACGAGTGGAATTGCAGTTTCAAATGGTCCTGGTGTGAGGTGTTCGTGCTATGTATCGGTGTCGTTCCTCGTGCTTCCTGGTCCTGCCACTCCTTTACAATACGGCGTCGTGGTGTCCACCTTGCGGTTCGCCATCTTTGTCGGCAAATTCAGGGGGTGGCGCGTGGCTGTTTTGACAAAAACACCGTCGCATTGCGATTCCCATTCATGTTCCGATTCCTATTCCTACTCCGATTCTCTTCCTATTCCTAATTATTCCCTCCGCGCCCCCCCCCCGCCTTTCCCCCCGTCCCGCCCAACACCGACACCTCACTTCTCGATCGCCCCTTTCCCTCATCCCTCCACCCCACCTCCCTCCATCCATTTTTCCCTGCATCGTCCTGCACTCCCCATCCACCCTCCCCATCCAACCTCCCCCCTCTTCGCTCATCCCCGCCTCCTCCTTCCCATCACCCGCCTCATCCTGTGAAAAGATTGCGCTAGGCCAGAGTCTGGCCCATGGCGACCAGGGGCCTGGAAAAGGATTCAGGACTCGTCTGGCCCTGGGGCTCCTTGCCCCGGCTCATCTGGCCAGGCCATCCTGCCGGGGGGGAGGAGCCCTTTGGATTACCTGGTTACCGCCCTTTTGGTGTCTGTTGGGCACTGGCACACACACCCCAACCGATTCAAAAGCTGGCGCCCCGAGCCGCCACGCACTCACAAACCCAAAGCCCGCGCAGACACCGAATCCTGTGGGACGCGTGGGCTCGATGGGGAAAGCCCGAAGATGGAGAACTCAACCATTGTTTACACATTACCATCTACTCTGAGCCTATCTGGGGAGGGGTTGAAAACCCTGGAGGGGGGCAGGCGGAGCTGAACCCGACAGGGTTTGCCAGATATGTCCAACGTATATGCGACAACTCTTTTGCACCACAGCGCCGAGCGGATGGGGCTTCCCACCCCGATATCCTTCAGAGAAAAAGCTGGGCCACCAGGCCCTCAAGCTAGCTTCCTGAGCGCGCAGCCTGGGGGCCCCGAACCTCCTATACAAAAGGTCCGCGGACAAGCATTTTCGACCCCTCCCAGCCGACCCCACTGGGCCACTGGCCAAACGCCTGAGGCACCAGGTCCGCGCACGATGGCGTCGTGCACGACCTGCACCGGACGTGCACGGCACCGCTCAGCTCACTCAACTTCTCGACCAGGACGTGACACTTAGTGAACCTCTGGAGCGCCGACGTTGTGGCCCATCGTCCTGGGCCCTCGCAGCCTCCAGGTCGCCGTTCGACACCACGAACCTGGCTGCCGCCGCATGTCTCATCCCGTGCGGCGGCCCCATCTTCTCCATGCCGACCACCTTCAGCGTCTTCAGCCAAACCTTTTCGGAAGGCTGCCTGGGTGAACGGGAAGACCTGGTCGCCAGGCTCACGGTTCTGGACCAAAACCTGCAGCGGCAGTCGAGAGATCGGCCACTCCAGCACAACTCCCTGGTGGGCGCCCGTCGCTGTCTTCTGGACCATCATGCGGTCGCCGAACCGCGGCCCCACTCCACCGTCTGGTGTGAGGCTGACGTGCCTAACCCGCAAGATCTCCCAGTCCTGCTCACGCAGCCACCCGCCCAGCTGGACGATGCACGCACATGCCTCCAGGATACGGCCAGTCTGCAACATCCCCGTCACGATCACGGCCATGGCCGAGTCGTCGACCGCGTGGACCACCAGCCGATTGTTCCAGAGAGGGCGGTCCAACATGGCCTGCTGCCAGGCCCTCGCCCCCCTCTCCTGCAGCGGGGGGG